TCCCCCTCAGCTCCATCCCTCATGTAGGGCTTGACCACCTGCAGCGAATGGTCAAAGCGGGCGCGTCTTTGCGACTTCTCACGTCGAGCAGCATCTTGGGGAGGTGATTGTGACTGTAACTGCACGAGAGAGTGAGTGCGAGGAGGAGGAGGAGGAGGAGGAGGAGGAGGAGGAGGAGGAGGAGGAGGAGGAGGAGGAGGAGAATGGTTCACATGTTAATCTTGACATCGAGCTTGTACCCTTGAAACTGCGAGAGGGAGTCAGACAGCCTTGTCACGCCTGCTGCTCAACCAAGGAGCATGCACACCTTGTTCAAACACTTCCCTATCGCATCTACAATCCATGACATGCTGGTTTCAAGTATCAGTTTGGCAGTGGAGCAGGTGTTGCTCTCTACTCGTTGCCAAAGGCTCCTCCCCCCAGGATTGTGAGGACTAGGCAACAGGACCCATCTTGTCCCTCCCTGCCCTCTGTCAAGATGTGCACAGCACGTGCCATGCACTCACTGCAAGCAACTTGACTCCACCGCTGCCCAGAAGCATGCTTCGTAAGAGACGTCGAGAATCCGCTGCATGCTTCGTCATATCCTCCGGGACCAGAACAGTCTGGTCTACCTTGGCGATCAGCTCCCACTCGTCAGGGGCGCAGTCTCTTCAGGGAGAGGTGAGAAGCAAGAGGGAGCGAGCGGCAGTACTCACGAGTACGATACAGGACAGGCAGAGCAGAGGACCTTGGTGACGTACTGCTGGGCAGAAGGAGGAAGAAGAGTCCTGGTAGTCCTCTAATTGCCCAAGACACGCTTCCACAGTCCTTCCCGCACCTTCCCCAGTCGCAGCTGGTGACCTCGACGTCTCTATGTACACCGACCTGCATGGCTGGTGAACTCGTGCACCGATGGCAGCGAGCCTGGCAGCGAGCGGTGACCTTAACGGAGCTGAGGAGCTCCTCCAGCCCTGAAGGATTACTGGATGCTGGAGGAGAAGCGATGAGGACGAGTATGGAGGAAAGCAGGCTGAGAAGAGCTCGTCACCTGCTCCAAGGCACTGTGTGGCCTTCCGGATGTGCTTGCGATCCTGATGGTCAAGATCAGGATGGAGGAGCATGCATGGAGGGCGTCAGACAGGTAGCAGGTATCCCCCGGTGACCGGCAGCTCCACTTTAAGCTTCTTAATGAAATCGTCCAGGTTGTTACTTGCAAGCGAGCCCTCAGGATGGTAAGAACAATCTCAGGGTCAAGTTCTAACATCATGCGGTCCGAGGTCTGCCCGTGCTGTACGACTTTCCCGTCCTCGTAGACGGGAGCGAAGTAGTTCCGATAGACTTGGGGCTCGCAGTCAGAAACGGCCCCAACCCCCTATCGTCCCTTACCAGCTGCTGGAGCACAGGCGATGGCGCACGCAGGGCCTTGCGTGCGATCGAAGACGTACCCCGTTAGCTTGCAAGCCACGTCAGCCCCAGTCGCCTCCCAGGATCGGTGCTACTCCATCTTCAGGACGCGAGTACGGGCCCATGAACTCCAAACAGTTGAGCTGGGACGCTACCTGCCGAACTTTCGGTCCCACCGCCATGTCTCGTCACGAGGCCAGGGGAACCTGAAAGGTGGAGTAGCGATACTTGCTTGAAGCGAGGATGTTGGATACATCTCCAAACACAAACGAGACTGCAGGACAACAATCATTGCCACTTTCTCTATCGCATCTCAACACAACGACCTCTCAGCTTCCCTCGCAGAAATCCTTCAGGCTTCAGCTCCTGCAACTCGTCAGCCGCTATGCAGGGAGGAGGCATTCGCGCTCACCAGGAGCCTCCGAGCACGTGAAGAGAGCTCGAGCAAAGAGGGAGTCTCGAACGTGCCGATCTTGAACTCTCGCCCGTTACCTCTGCAGAACTACTGAGGAGACAAACAAAGGTGAACTTGCTCTTCACCTGCTCACAAGGGCGTCTGGAGCCTTGAGGTAGAAGTTGCTCTGCCAGATCTCGATCAGAAAAGGATCTTGACGCGGGAACTCAACGAGTGTCAAACAAATACAGAACAAGGACAATCCAGACGGGAGGAAGTGAAATAAGAGGAAGAGGAATGAGTCTAAACTTTTACAGATTTTCGGTACACACGATCCTCGATCAGTGAGCTCCTGATCTTGTTCCCTCTGCTATGTTGACTGTGTGATCTCGTGATTCTTAAACCTCTCACCTTCTCCTGCTGCACATGATTCTTTTTCTGCTCAAAAATCCTAAAACATGTGGGTGTTTGCAAGGCAGATGCGAATCAAAGCATTTCGATCTCTATCAGATGAGCATGTCGGACTCCCTCAAATCTCACCTTCACATCGTCGTATTCTTCAGGCTCTTGGAATCCAAACACAGAATAGAACCAGTTGGTTTTGTCCTCCTCCTCCTCCTTCTCCTCCTCCTTCTCCTCCTCCTCCTCCTCCTCCTCCATCCCTTCATCTTCTTCGTCCTCCTCCCTCCTCCTCCCCTCGCTTACATCTTCTCCCTCCTTCTCTCCTTGCCCATCGTCATCGTCTCCTACAACCTCCCTGTCCACCACCGCAACATCGCTCCCTACAACGCCCATTGCTTCCAGCTGGCCCGGTGGCCGGCGGCCCAGGCCGGGCCGCCGGGCCCGGAGAGTCGAGTCATTGTGGACTGAGACTCGGAACGACTGTCATATCCCTTTCCGTTTCAACTGTAACGGTCAAGATCACAGACTCTTCAAGGGGTATTCGACAGAAACGCGTCCAAAATCATGGATATAGGACAATTGGATAAATAGTACAAATTGTTTGGATAGTAACGCTTCTTGGATTATTTCAAACGTAGGCTGACAAAAATCTTCGGTGCATGTCCTCCCCACCACCCCCTTCTTTCCCCTACACTACCCCCTAGTTCAAGGGGCACAATTTCGAACTTCTTTGTTTTCAGTTTCTACAAGTTTATAAAAGAGTGACCAGCACCACTTACAAGGGAGCGCGGAGCGGGGGAAGGGGCATGTGCGGGAGGGAGGGAGGGAGGGAGGGAGGAGACGAGGAGCGAAGATGATGGCGAGGAGAGGGGGGTAAGAGGGATAGATGATATGAGAGACTATGGTTCAAGTTAGTGAACAAGTGAGAAGCACAACAAACAGGGCAAAAGATAATAGCAGGAGAGTAAAAGGGTAACGAGAACAAACCAAGTAGGATAGAACGGGAGTGGTTGTTGAAGATTATGGGAATGCGACAGTCTACAACGAATGAATAAAAAGCAAGGAAAGGGAGGAAAACGGATGAATGATGGCGAGAAACACGAGAAAACGAGACGAGAGGCGATCAGGAGAGTGTGAGGAATTGATGATGTGGAATGGTTTTTTAGACCTGAGAGAAGAAATATTCATCGTGTGGCTCTGAAACGCTATGAGATCGGGTAGAAGCAGAAGATCTAAGGATGATCACAGACAAGAAAATTGCTATACTAGTGAATTTTGATTTTTTGGTGCTTTGTGTGGGACCCAATGTGTGGGAGGTTGCAAATAGGACAACAAAACCAAACGAAGTTGCCGAGCTGATCTTGATTGACGTAGGGCGGGATGGCTAGCTCTATCCTCGATCCCCTCATCAACTTTTCAGCGTCCGTCGACAAGGCGGTAGCGTCATACTTGGAGAGATGGGGAAGGATTGTAGCCAAGAAACCATGGACAGTTTTCCTGGTCTCCCTTGCTGTGTTTGTTATCTTCGTGTCAGGAGTGTCCAAGTCAAAGCAAGAGACTGAGACTGAGAACCTGTGGACACCGTCTGGCTCACAGGTGCTCAAGGACAAGGATTTCTACACTGAGATGTTCGGGTCGGGCTTCAGGGTCGAGACTATTTTCTTCAAGAGCAAGACGGGCTCCAACGTACTCACGTCCGAGCACTTCAAGGAGGTCTATGACTTCGACACAAAGCTCCGACGCGACCTCGTTGTGCTGGTTGACGACGTGCCGTACAACTTCACCTCCATCTGCGCCAAGGCGAGGCCAGGCGACAACTTTTGCCTCACTGGCGGCAGTCCGCTAGAGTTCATGTACGACATGGGCAGCCATCGCTTCGACTTCAACCTGATCGACACCGACGCCAAGTTGCTCTCCAGGATCAACACGGCCCAGCTCGTCTTCACCCCTTCCGACAGCCAGAAGCCTGTTGTTCTGGACATCTCGGATCGCCAGAAGCTGCTGGCTGGGAAGGAGTACAAGGACGGCAAGATCGTCAGTGCCAACACGCTGAAGGTGACCTGGTTCGCGTCCAGGGCCAACGATACAAACCGTGGAGACTCCAACTGCTACAACTCGGTCACAAACCCCAAGGGCAAGAAGGGCTGCAACCCGACACTGGTGTGGGAGGGGAAGTTCCTGGAGGAGGTGGAGAAGTGGAACCAACAGAGCAAGCACGTCAAGGCCTACGTCCAGGTAGAGAGCTCGATCAGTAGGGTGCTGAGCGGAATCATCGGGGGCGACATCATCCAGCTCAACATTGGCATCGCGCTCATCGTAATTTACGCCATCCTCGTCCTCGGCAAGTTCCACCCTGTGCTCAGCCGCTCCGCCGTCGCCTTCTCCGGCGTCGCGTCCGTCGGGCTCGCAATCGGCGCCACCTATGGGATCTGCGGCTATGCAAACATCCCGCAAACTCCAGTGACGACTCTGCTCCCCTTCATCTTGCTGGGTATTGGCGTGGACGACATGTTCGTGCTGGCAGGCGCGCTGGATCGGGCTCCCCGACACCATAGCCTTGAGGACAGGATTGCGTACATGATGAAGAGCGCAGGGTCGTCGATCACGCTGACGAGCATGACAGACATGCTCGCCTTCGCTCTTGGGACCATCACAACTTTTCCAGCCCTGCGCTACTTCTGCTCCTACGCGGCGATCGGCATCGTTCTCGACTACTTCTTCCAGATCACCATCTTCTCTGCCTGCATCGTGTGGGACGAGCAGAGAATTATGGCGCAAGGGAGAGACTGCTTCTGCTTCTGCGCCCCTTGCGCTAAGAAAGGGTCGAGCTGCACCTGCTGCTACGTCGAGGAGGAGGAGATGAGCAAGTCGTGCTGTAACGACCGCTGCTGCATGCGGGAGGGAGGCTACCTCCGCTACTTCATCGCGGAGTACTATGCTCCCCTCCTCACCAACCTCTACTTCAAGATCGGCACCATCCTCGTCTTCATGGGACTGCTCGCCGTGGGGGCCTACGGCCTGACTCAGCTGGGGGAGGACTTCAGCCTGAGCTACTTCGTTCCCAGCGACAACCCTCTTCAAGAAGTCTTCAAGATCCGCGACGAGGAGTTCAGGACAGGAGGGATCAAAGTTGATGTCTTGATGGACCATCGCAAGCAGCCGGCGGCCTACGGCCTCCACACGGCCAAGACCAAGGAGGAGGTGAAGAAGATAGAGTCCTCTGTGGACACGTTTGCCTGGACGGTCAAGAACACCATGAGCAACCCGCTCACCAACTTCTCCTCCTTCGTCTACGACTTCCAGCTCAACCCCTCCCTCTTTTACGTCCCTTCTGCCGCCGCAAACTTGTCAACGCCGGCGTCCTGGCAGAAGCTGAGAAGCAGCGAGTACATGGATGGGGCGGACAAGCTCGAGACGATGCAGATCAAGGACCCGAAGCTCTTCTACGACGTCTTCCACCACTGGCTCACCACCCCCTCCGGTGCCGCCTTCAGGGGGTACGTCAGCCCCTACGAGTGGTACGAGAAGTTCATCAGTTGGATCGAACTGCAGCCCCAGAAGAGGAACGTGTACAAGTACGAGCAGCAGGAGGTAGTCCTGGACAAGACCCCAGCTCCAGGAGGCAACAGCATCCACCCCTCTACCTACCGCCCGAAGGACCCCGTCCTCTTCTGCTCCCTCCTCAAGTACTTCCTCTCCACGAACCAGACTCTGGCCGACCAGGTGAAGAACCTTGGGGATTCGCCCAGATGCTACCCAGAAGGGGGGGACGTGCAGGTCCACAGGATGAACGTGGAGATGAAGTGCAGGCTGGACCCCGGGCCCTGTCCCAAGTCGAACGCGAGCGCAGAGGTTGAGATCATGACGGGGATACGTAACAAGGTGAAGGAGGCGCCAGACGGTCTGCATCCCATCGCCTACTCCTTCTCCTTCCTCTACACGGAGCAGTACGCCGTCGTCCGAACGGAGGCGTTTTCCAACCTTGGCTTCTCCATCGCCGCTGTCGCCGCCGTCACGTTCGTTCTGATCGCCCACCCGCTGACGTCGCTTCTCGTCATCATCAACGTCGCAATGGTCCTGGTGGACATCACTGGGCTCATGTGGCTATGGAACGTCACCATCAACTCCGTCTCCATCATCAACCTCGTCCTCGCCATCGGCCTCGCCGTCGACTACTCCGCGCATGTCGCCCATGCCTTCATGTCCGCCACGGGGACACGCGACGAGCGAGTCAAGAAGGCGATGGAGGAGATGGGAGCTGATGTAATCCATGGCGCCCTCTCCACCTTCGTTGCTGTGCTGGTAACAGCTCCATCCAAGTCCTACATCTTCCAGATGTTCTTCAAGCAGGTGCCTTGACCCCCGTCCTCATGTCGTCCTTGCGCTCTATGTATCCTTTGACGTTGCTCCTGCTCCTCCTGCTCCTGCTCCTCCTGCTCCAGCTCCTCCTGCTCCTCCTGCTCCTGCTCCTCCTGCTCCAGCTCCTCCTGCTCCAGCTCTCGACCCTCATTGTTTTCCGCTGTCTGACAGACTGTCCTTTGTCCTACCTCTCGCCTCCTCGCCTCTCTCTTTATCTTCATCTGACTCTCCTCAGTTCTTCGGCATTTGCTTCTTCGGCGCTCTCCACGGCCTCTGCTTCCTCCCCGTCATCCTCTCCTTCATCGGCCCCAAGAGCCATCGCGAGGAGTACGTCACCGACACCAAGGAGGAGGGCGAGGCCGGAGTCAGCAAGCAGCCGGCGCTGTCGGTGGGTGCAGGAGTGTCCTCTCTTCCTCCTCTGAAGCTCTGGCAGTACGTCAACTCGATGGAGAAGAGCGACGCCGTCTCGATCCCCAACATGGACATCGGAAACGTTCGGAGAGCTGCGAACCAGTCAGAGTAGGAGGAGGTGTCATCATGGTTGTGGATGTGACTTTTGAGTGTGATGCTGGTGTGCGGAAATTTTGGGTGTTTTGTGTGTGTGTGTCTCTTGGAAATCAACAGGACGACGCTTGATTGCTGGCATTTGTAACTGTAGCTACTGATTATGAACAGAAATAAACAACATCTTTATGTGTTATTACACACCGTTTCTGCATGATACCGACAAGATTTCAGAGGAGATGGCAAGACGATTAGTTCTTTTCTTTTAATCGTTGAAAACAAAAAGATTGATGGGTGGTAAGGCAGTACATGAGAGGTAGAGAAGCTAGTTTAACGATCAGCGGAAGTGGCAAACTTGACAGGACCGTCAGAGTTTGGAGCAAGGAGAACTCCAAGACAGTGCCTGCACAACAACAGGGTCAGGAGCTCTGATGAGAGGACACAATAACAGCAGCAGCAGCAGCAGCAGCAGCAAGACACAGGAAAGACACAGAGAAGAAGAACGCAACACAATGAAAAGGTGAACTTCCAACACATGTACAACCATCTTTTCACATTGAGGAGATTTAAGGAAAGCAAGAATACAAGAGAGACACTGGAAGGCTGTTTGACGATACCTTGCTTCCATCTCAGTGTGGAGGTGAGATGTGCAGAAATCCAAGGCGAACGCCCTCTGCTTCCTCTCCTGCACAGAAAATTGTGAGAAGGTTGAGACGGTAAGGAGCGAGAGAGTCTGAGGGACCAAGCGAGGAAGGGAGGAGCGAGATGGCAAGGAAAAGGACAGTGCATATTGATTAAAAAGGAAGGAAATTATTGATGCCCGCATTGAAAGGGAAGATTCAAAAGATAGAAAGATAAGGAGAAGTTCGAAAAGAAAATAAGGAATGAAAGATGAACAGGGAGAACGTTCTGGTAAAAGAGATACACGACAAGACATTGAATCAAGTTTAGAAGCATGGGGTTCATCACAGATAGGTGTACTATTGATGTAAAGATGACAAGGATGTCATTCAACAAGAGAAATGAATATGACTGCTGTGTTGCAAGCTAACAGGAAATCCAAGAAATCGAGGTTGAGAGTGCATTGCTTTCAAAGAAACAGGTGTCGTACAGATATGGAGAGGAGGTTTACACGTAAATGAAAATGAGAGAACGTCAACGCAATCTGAAGATACAAAGACTGAGAGGCAAGACAGTTTTCCCTAGGTCAGCCATAATCTGGCCAGCCCGAGATGAAGCGTCAAGCCATGGAGGCGAGAACGGATGAATTACAGGCACAGGAAGCATGCAGATGACAGCGAAAAGGAAGAATGATGTCGGAGAGAAGAGACATGGCTCAAATTTGGAACAAGCACAGCACAAGATGTACTAGGGTGAGGGGTCATGCAACAGGAGCAAAGCAGATATGGAGAACAACAATGAAAGGGAAGGGTTAATAAGAGATAGAAGATATGAAATGAAAAACGGCAGGAAGGATTCAAGCCAAAAAGGATGATGAAGTCGAATGAGCGGACAAAAAGACAAATCCAACACAAGATAGATGCTTTGACGACGCAAACGGTGGAACCTAATATGCTAACGAGAATGTGGAGCAAGAGAAGGAGGAGAAGAAGGACAAGAACGATGGCAGATTGTGATCAGGAGGATCATGAGGATCATGAGGAGCTTACGCCGAAGGTGGCGGGGTCGATGAGCATGGTGGTCTGAAGCAGCTGAAACATGGCAGGCGCCGCGATCTATTTCCGGTTGGAGGGGCACCATCCTTATAACAGGGGTCCTTGTATAGAGAGATAGGGGTACTCGACAAATGGGAAAAACTCAGTGGAGATGGACTCCTGCTTCCCAAGCAATTTGGCCGGCCCGCCGGCCCGTTATCAGAGCGTTACTGAAGAATTCTGCGTATGAGGGTGATGAGCAACGCCCTAAGAGCTTTCGGGAAATCGAGGATCGCTAGGGAGGAAAGGAGGATAGGAATCTAGTGGAAGGAAGAGGAGCGAGTCTACAAGAGCAGGAGGACGAGATCGACAAGGACGTCGAGCCGAGAAGACAAGGCGCAGGGAGATCTCGGAGACCTCTCCGATGAAACTCTGAGAGCAAAGGAGGGCGATGGGCTTGCGGTACTGCGGCTGGCAATCTACTTCGATAGTGCTGCTCCTGTTTTGCTGGGGAGCTAGGGGAGAACACGACTCTTGTCGATTCTACCTGGAAGAAATGACTGGGAGAAAGTTTGGCCTTTGCCATTACGGGTTGAACGTGGAAGGGTCCGGGAGAGGAATCCGAATAGACTTCTTGGAAGACTCAAGACATCTCTTGTCCAAGACGACGATTGAGCATGCAGAGGTTCATTGCAGCATAGAGATGAAAGGGAACTCTTCCTTCCCTCATCATCAGCTCCCTGCACACTGGGTGTTGTCGTACCAGCCAGCACCCAGTACAACCTTGGAGGAGGTGTACATCCCGGTGTACGTTGACTTGATGCACAAGAAAGAGTCTTGTGTGTCGGATGTTCACTTGGGCTACGATAAGATCTTGAGTACGTGGGTAGGAGATGCCATGAAGGGATCAGAGCGTCATGGCAGAGCTCTGACCCTCTCTCCCCTTGGCCAGTTCGGAAGTCAGCCAGGTAGCAAGGAGTTTGAAGCTCATTGCGACCTGGAGGTGCTGCTGGGGAACGATGCTACAGGTGACCCGATGCCTCTGACGTGCTGGTTTGTGACTTGATCCCTTCCCGGCCCTCAGATGTTCTGCAGATCAAAGAGCAGGTGAGGGAGAGAGATGGAGATTGTCGATAGTGGCGAGGAGAGTGTTGATGGTAGAGGGAATTTAGTCGAGAGAACAGGGAGGGAGGGAGGGAGGGAGGGAGGGAGGGAGGGAGGGAGGGAGGGAGGGAGGGAGGGAGGGAGGGAGGGAGGGAGGGAGGGAGGGA